AACAGAGAATCCCAATTACAGTTATTGGGTGGTGATTAGATAAAATTTTATTAAGCTTTCTTTATTCCTTTAACTTGGATTGTTTATAAGATGAATTTTGACTATTTTAGAGTGATAATTATATGTAAGATATTGTGATATATTTTATACATATATTTACAAATAAATTTATATTTATGTATAAATATTTCTTTATTCATACTATATTCTTTATTATATATTTATATTGATGCTTTATATAGAGATATTTATTTAATCCTTATTACAATCCTATGAGCTTTTATACCCATTTTACAGATAAGAAAACTGAAGCTCGGATTAGGAACCTGCATAACCTTAACCTCACAGTTAAGAATGGGACTGGCTTTGCTTCTTGACCTATTCACCTCTGAAGCCTGTGGTCTTAACTATGACACTGTACTGATTTCCGTCTAGCATTCTAGGATTTTGTGAGCAGCCATATCCATGATTCTTCATGATTTTAGCAGAGCGTTATAAAATTGAATGTCTGCAAAGGTAGGCAGGTCATGGAAAGATGTGATGCAGGTGGGCGTAAGAGACAGTGACAAATGGCAAGAATGTGGCTAACTGGTGAGCACAAGATCGGTATAAAGGCGGAGCTGCTACCCAGCTCCAGCCCATATTGGTTACATAGGCAGCAATGCTAGCAAAAGTTAACAAATCTTTCCATTTTTTTCAAAGAGATGAAAAGCTCAATTTTTATGAGAGCTTCCCATTTTTAAATAGTGGCGACTAATTTAGATTAAAATAGAAACACTGTGCAGGCCCAAGGAAACATATCTGAAGGTTGAATGTGGCCAGTATGTAATATATTGTAGAGGTTCTGATAATTAACGATTCCTTACCAAGAGATTCTAGATTAGGCCTTCTGGTATCAAATGACTTGTCAATTATCCCCACTATGGATTCGCTCCACACACCTGGGCTGCGTCTGCTGTCTTCAGCTCAAGTCATTTGTTCTAAGACTAGTGCAGGTGCAGGAAAGGCCACTAGCAAATCCCTTCCTAACCAACCAGGCCTCTCTTCGGTCATTCTCGTATTCTCCCTCTCTCCCTCTCTCCACACACACACACACACACACACACACACACACACACACACGTCACACTCTGTGTGCTTTCAAGTTTGGTCTTCATGCATCTTATTTTACATCCCTTTCATCAACTTTTTAGCCTTCCTGTGAATTCTTTTAAAATTCTTCATATTCCCATGAGTTGAAGAAACCAAAATTGGACATGGTTTTCACAGTGTGGTTTTACCAATCCTGGGTCAGATTTAGGTCTTACTTTCATAGTTTCCATAAAGATTCTCTAGTAATTTTCAGAAATTTATCATCCTGTTCTAAATGGATAAAAGAGTACCACTAGGATTTAAAAGGGAAACAATTCTTTTCGGTAGGACTCATAAGGCATGTTTTAAGGACACCAGAAAAGTACCAGCATTGTTACCATTCTGCATGTAGGCATTTATTAAAACTACGAATTCTAGACAATTTTTAAAAAAATTCTAAACATAAAGACCATTTAAAAGGTGGACTTTTAAAATAAAATAGTAGCATCAGTAACATTTACCTTTATAATTCCTACGAAATATTAAGAAGTAGAAAATTGTTTGTCACACTGATTTTAAACCCACTCTCAAATATCCAACGGGCAAAAGCTGGAAGAATTAGAGTAGCCTCTAAGTCTCTGAATAAAGGAAGAGGTTACGGGATGGGAATGTGTTTTCTGGAGTTAAGGGCTGGGTTCTTGGATCCTGTTTCCTTTTGCTTTCTCCTTCTCCTGTGTTTCCAATGTGCAAGTTCCTAATCCTAACTTCAGTTCCAACTAACTTTTCACTGTAGCAAATTCAAACAACTTTAAGCTAAAAATGAAAACTCATACTGCTCTGTAAGAAATGTACTTACTGTTCAACGGCATTAAGAGTTTTCTCTACTATGAAAGGTTCATAGGGTCCAATCAAATCAAAGGAAAAGAAGTAACAAGAGGGTCATCAATATAAGCTAATTTTAGATGGTAGCTCCTGCTTGGTTTAAATATCTAATTTGAGGGCTATATGACTACAGACTTGGAAAAACTCCTTCATAGAAAAAAGCCAAAAATAATTAATATCATAGTTCCTTCAGTACACTCTATTGACCTCAAATGTGAATTTCCATTTATTTGCATTCCATAGCATTTCTAAAACTGTAGTTATTATAAACAATTCTTATTTTATTATTCAAGAAGTCCCAATCAAGTTAAGTGGAAACAATGTTGTAACTGAGATCCTGGTATGCATAAAAATCTTATTTTCACATAATCTACCCCATTTCTCTTCTCTTGGTCATTTGGGTACTTCACTCACCTACTGAAATGCCTTTAAAAATCTGATCTGAAGACACCATTCAAGGAGCTTTTTTATCTCTTACTAAATTCTTTAATGCAAAGAGCAAAGTGAAGGGCACTCCATGTCCTTAATCAGCTAAGAGTTGCACATACAGGGCAGCCAGGATTTGTATGAAGTATAATATTTTTACTTACAATTCCTCTTCTTGTTTGGCTTTCTTATCTGAAACCAGATAGACAGTTCCAAAACTTCCACTGCCAAGTTTCTGTTGAAGCACATATCTTCTTGCAATCAAGGTCTTTGGATAACTAGAAATGGCTACTGATCCACTCATATGCTTAGCAGCCTCTTGGAATTTCAGCATTGCCCCCAACAGGAGAGAACTGATTTCTTTGTTTATAGAAACTTAACATCCAAATCTCCTAAGAGATGGTCGAATTCATCCAAGTAGCGTCGATCAATGCCTTAAAGATGAAAAGCCCAGAGATCAGGTGTAAAGGATGTTGAATATTCCCATTGAAAAGTGCAAATTTTTGACAGTGATATCTGCATCTTTATTAGTGGATTGAATGACACCATACTCATTAACTTTAACGACTTGAAAGAAAAATGTTAAAAGGTACTGAAGATACCAATAGAAGGCAGGAACAGAGCCTTCCCTATTACATTCAAATTTGGCAAAACTCAGATACAGACAAATTTCTCCTAAGTTCTGAGATGTGTGTGTGTGTGTGTGTGTGTGTATTCCAATAAGCAACCTGTTTAAGATATGTATACTCCCCACCTACTTTTAAAAAAACATCCAAATATAAGAACATTATCATTTCCTTAAATCTATACATTTGCATCAACTTCATGTCTTTCTTCCTAATTTATGTCTATTTTGAATAACAAATAGTGAGTTAGGATTAAAGCAGAAATTAGCATGATGCTGCTTTCTTTAAACTTTGTTCTTCTGTAGACTTTAAACCATGGTATTTGCATTTATTAGAATAGATGTGAAAAGGGATAAGGATTTAGAATGAATTTTTTCTCATCCTTAGCAAAGTCTCATCCAGTTTCTAAACTTCCAATTATACACACTATGTATAGACTAATCTCCCAGATTTGGAAACAAGAAGTGTCACAAAAGCAGTCAAACCTAAAATTGTATTTTAATGTTAGCTGAATATAAATGTTACAGGTAAACCTGTAATTCCTCAAGGGGCTATAAGTGTACAGCAGAATTATGAAAGGCAGGACTGTTTCATGTGTATGTACATGGCAAAATCACTTTTATTTCATCAAAATGTAAAATATTTTGTTAGTAATCATGAAAAGTGGGTATTGTTTTAAATCTGTATGACAACATTGTTTTAAACTGAAGAGTCAATGACTTGGAGTAGGGTTTCCATATTCAACAATTCCAAAGCTATAAGACAAAAACCTGTCGTATGTAATGATAAAACAAGATGTTATCTGTGTANTAAACCGCCTTGCAAATCACATCTCTCACTGATCCTTCTTGTAATTTTCATTTCTAAAACAATTCTAAAAATAATAAAAACTACTCATTAGAAGTCAATAATCATTGTACATTGTACTGAAATAGCTTTGAAAGAGCACATGAACTAAAAGCAGCTGATTAAACAATAGCAAATCCAATATTGTAAAAAGTTGGTTGGCTGATCTTGCTCCAAAACCCACAGTATCAGCATGTGTGCAAGGCCCATGAAATGAAAGACATAGAGGGAGAAGAAGAAAGGGACTGAAAGATTGTCAGGCCACAAATCTTCCTCAAATCTCCCCTGAGGGATGGCTATTTGGTTTTTAAGGGTTTCTCCAAATTCAGACTAACAGGGCAGTGGAAACATCAATCAAATTTTAATTAAAATGCTGCGTGCCTATCGCATATGGGAGAAGTTGAGGGAATTGGCACCCAAACACATTCTAATCAAAGTTTCAATAATCAAAGTTTTCCACTCTTAGAAATTTGGAAACCGAGAACATATGACAAGAGTATCAGCTTACATTTTGACCTTCCTTCCTGACTTGTTTAATAAAGGTCATGAAAACCAAAGCCTATAATGTTTCTCTGAACTAAACACAAGACTGACTGGTCTGAACCCAAGATTAAAAAGCAACATTGAAACAAACTGATGGTTACTAGATTGGAGGGGGTTTGAGGGTTGGGTTAGAGAGGTGAAGGGATTAGAAAGTACAAATTGATAAGTCACAAAATAATCACAGGATGTGAAATACAGTATGGGGAATATAATCAATAATGTAAAAACTATGTATGGTGTCAGATGGGCACTAGATTTATGGGGGGATCACTTCTTAAATTATATAAATGCCTAACCTCTGTGCTGTACACCTGAAACTAATGTAAAATAATATTGAATGTCAACTATAAATATATATATGTATATATATGTGTGTGTGTGTATATATATATATATATATATA